AATGTGTGTGAGTGTTAATGAGTGTAATGAAAACAAAATACAAATTCAGAAAAGACACCACAGACCGATGAAAATGCATCCACAAAAACAGCTATAGAGGGCAAAAAAGGAGAAAAAACATTTCAAAAATGATCCAATTAGGATGAAATGAAATTAAATTTGATTCCTGTGTGACTTTTATTCTAGGTCTGGAAAATATTATCTTGAACCGCCATAAGGATGGAGATCTTACAAAAACACGACACCACTGCTTCAAACCATCCAACTGTTTCTGAAATAGTAGTCATTTTGCAGCTAGAAAGAAAAATATGTGCTTGCTTTCCACTATGTTTTCATTTTGTATACCTGTTGTATTTTAGTGTTCACAGCAGCAATTTCTCTTATAAGTTGGAATTTCAAACTAAATCAAATCAAATCAAACTATTTGAATCACACCAAGGCACCATTTGGTGTCTCAGAATTGGTGTCTCTTAGTGTTTTCAGTCTCTAAGGCTACTATTTTTTATTCTATTTTTTTCCCAAGATGGAAGTCACTAGGGAAGACTGCAGGGTTATAAACATTATTATTATTTGTAACTCTAAATCAAGCCACATTCAAATTTGAACATGGTTGTTTACTAGATAGAATGTACTAGTAAATAACTAGATATATGTACGGGATCTAAAATTTTGTTTTTTTGTTTTTTAAGTAAAAGGTTTTAACAAATTAATACTTCCCAGAATACCAGATCAGTAAAATAGTATAGGTAAACACATCCATTTTTAGAGCAATAACATGCTTCTATTTGGTGATTACTTATGCAGCAGATAATTATTATTTACAAAGGAAACTTGTGTAAGATACAGCCCTCCACTGTTATCTGTTCTCTATGAAAGGTACTGAGAATAGAACATTTCTGGTTAAATTACCGCCTAAAAGAAAAGTAGAGCAGTGAAAACAATAACAGAAATCATCAATTACACATAGTTTACTTGAACCACCAACATTTTTTTGTTTTTTTGTGTGTATTAGTTTACCAAACTAGAAATGCAGAGCTATTCTATTCTCAGCATCTCTTGAAAACAGGGATATTTTTAAATTTCCATAAAACAGTGCATGCACAAACACTTGTTACACTTGTTAGAGTGTGTCTAAAATCAAAGTCACATGCAGACGGTGCAACTGAACAAATTTCTAGACTGAATGAATTTGAAGTGGCGTCTCATGTTGAAAAAACTAGTGATGTCTCGATCTGATAATATCGGATATCAGTCCAATATCAGAAAAAAAAAAACTAATATCAAATTTTAACGGGCGATACTTTCAAGTTTTTGTAACTCACTGGTTAATGTTACATGGATCACTTGTTTTCATACCTTTTAGTTACTTTTAGTGGCAATACTTGATTAAGTCTTTTCTAACTTTCTGAAGTATAAAATTAATAAGAAAAGTCAATGTGATTTGTAATAATATCAGGTCAATATCGATACAGGCTAATTAAAAAATTGCAATATCGGTATTGTATTGGAAATGAAAAAGTTGTATAGGGACAACCCTGGAAAGTACAGCCTAAAACAACTTTTGTGAGAGGCACTGCCAAAGTTCTCTTGGCGTTGCCATATTGGAATAGTGACGACTTAACTACAACGCTGTTAACTTGGGAATATTGCAGTTCTCAACTTCAAAGGTTACTGGAACACAAACAATACATTTTTCAAATCTCAAAAAGGTTTCTAAACACCAAATAAACATGTGCCTATTTTGATCCAGTAAGCTTACCAAATTTTTCTATATATTCCATCCATCCATCCATATACATTTAATCATACCAAATTGGTATGAGAGCCCGCTGCATGCTCAACAGATCTTCCCATGGACAACCAACAACATTTTCTTATATATCAAACCCAAAATTTTTTTAGCTTTAAGGTATGGTGGAGGATGTTCTTTTTCCGGTTGGATCATCAAAATAAGTGGTCCTACTAACTGTCAATCATTCTACTAGTATGTTAACGTAGGACCATCCTATGTGCTCGCCCCCATTTTCACTTACCAGTGGTGAGTCTGACATAATGGAAATTTTTTTTTGGTAAGCTTGTATGAGCGATGCAAACGGCAACTTTTAAACAGAGCGTGCACGAGGAGAAATGGATTCATGCATACTCTCGCACGCGTGTATAATAGGCGTTCTCTCTCGGGAGTAGGTGCAGGATTGTGAATGTGCATAATTTATTTTATAGTGGAGAGGGCGGGTATTTCCAAAGATGTGTGAAAATACTCCACTATACCTTTAAGCATTTTAAGAAGTCCCTATCATGCTATCAGTTTAACATATGATGAATAGTTGTTCAGGTAATTTTTTCTGTAAAATAAACCAAATTATTATTGAATCAAACGCTGAATGTAAGAGTAAATTACACCCTGTGTCAACATTATGAATTTGGTAAGTTGGACTCCCCTTGATGTCAAAACAGGACATAGGTTTTATGACTAAATTGTTAAAACTCTTGAAAAATAGAGAGCAGGGAAACAGAATCACTCAATGTTACCACATTATTGAGAAATAACATGTCTTCTTAGTACAGTGCAGATCTGTTAAAAAGCTAAAATAATCAAGTTAAAGAGTTTGTCAAGTAAATCAGTAAAGGACAATGGCCTTTTTGCATTTGTCTATCCCTTCAGTAATCTGAAGTCCAAGCAGAAAGCACATCAAGTTAACAAGGAAATGGGACAGCATCAGAGAAGAAACATTTCCTGCAGCCAACAAACTCAAGCACAAAGGGTCATGCTGGATCAACCAAGACAAATAATGCAGTCAAACAAAAGATGCAGGAAAAAAATCACAGAGGATATTTGATAGCATTATTGTCAAAAGTTGAGGAATGTCTTGGATCAATAAACAAACTAACTCCATGTCTGAAAGATCTGTAAATGCTTTTTTTTTTAGAGAATTGGTAAAAACTAAGTCTATGAAGGACTTTAAGAATGGCTATAAGCATAGCTAGTCAGTATAATGATCCCCACAGGAAATTAATCACTATCCACAAATCCAAGATTTAAAAAAAAAAAAAAAAGAAAAACAACAGTTTACATTGGTATTTCCTGGAATGCGAAGGGGCTGCTGAACAGGACACACATTAATTAAAATGAGTGCACAAGCTGCACACAAGTTCAGCCATCAGTGCAAGGCTATTTTCTGAAAATGACTGCAAACAATAAGGCTGCACCCAGCAGCATTTCTGATATACCGACTATGTGCTGATTAAAACGGTAAACAGAACAAATTTGCTCATGTTTGTAAACACAATTACAGTTAGTTTGTTTTTTGTTTTGTTTTTTTCCAGAGAAATGAGACAACAGAAGGCTGTCTGAGTTGTGTTGCCTGAGCCAAAAGACCTGAGTAGTTGGCGCCATGTCCTATTTTACCAGAAGTATAATAGCCGCTACATTCTGGCACCAGGCTTCCTGTTTGCAATTGGATGCTGTGTAAATTATGAAACACAGAGAGCTGAAACTAAGAAAGCTGGATATAAAAAGGTTTCATTTGTTTCTAAAGGCATTCTAAGGACACTTCTGAGAAGAGCAAACAGCCAGACTAAGCCACATAAATCTCAGGGATAATGTGGGCTTGTTTGCCTAGATCCATTAAAGTGACCCACTCGATGTGACATCTCAGCAGGCCTCGGCCTGTTCTGGTTGAAGCAGGTCGAATGTCACATTTAGAGCAGTAAAAACAAAGATGAACCACCCAATTTGTCACATAAACAGAGACGACCGTTAACCTCATGTCCTCGAACAAGTGAGGTCTTGTTGAGATGGCAATGAATAAGTAACGACCTAAAAACTTGAGCCTGGTCTTTTTACACCATTCAATGAGCTTATAATTTGTCACAGTAGGCAAGAGCCAGTTACTTGCAATGTAATTTTCCCCAGTGGTTAACAGTAAATCATATAACATTGGTCAGCAGGCTGAAGAAATGCCCCCACATAGGTGTTTGGAAATATTACCAGACTTATTTGGCCCATATTAAACAACATGACACCACAGCCAAAGTAGGGTAAGAAATGTTCCGCTTACAGGTACAAAATGTAAGAAAGATCAAATTGCAGTGTGTGGGTGACTAACCCAAAGTCTAATGGTTGCAATTGGAATCACAACAGCATGATAAGTGGTTTCTATTACGTCTGAAGCAACTTTAAGCAGGTGTGACTACATCAAAGCATAAACCCAGAATGGTTAAAAAATAAACATCCAAAATTAAGCAAACATTATAGGTGAATTAAAGCTGATAAAACAAATAAACTTTATGGATAGTGTTATAACAAAGCTATTTTGGAAGAATTTTATTTTTGCAGGAGTCATTTATACTTTCCTGTTTAAAACTTGTTTGTTTTTTAGTGCAAATAATGTACAGCTGTGATACTTTTACTGAAGGTGATTATGCATTAAGAATCATTAAGTAACATTGATCTGGGAAGATAGAAATAAACTGTACAAACTGAAAAGATCAAGAGGAAGCAGAATATGATTTTTCTCTTTCTTTAATAAAAAAAATGCTCCTTCATCACTGAATGCAAAGCTGTTGTTCCTCCACTTCCTAAAGTTTACCCTTGTGTTTCAGAGCACAGCCATTTCACAGGAAGTCGGTTTATAAAGAAACATTTTTAAAGTAATAAACAGAAGGTAAATCAAATAATAAAAGCATGATTTTTTAATTTTATTTTATTTTAAACATGTTTGATTACAGCCAGATCTGCTCCCTCCTCCAAGATCCATAAAACTAAACTAAACCTATGTCTCAGAGCATTGAAAAGGTAACCACTGACTGGTTAAAGGCCTGATCATGTTACAATAAAGCGCTGCTGATTCTGGGTGGGTCACAGGCGGAACAATAACAGCTGACCATCAGCAGCTAATCAGTAGGAAGGACCAGGATCAGATTTATCTGCACACATTTAAAAAATATATTTCACCTTATGAGGATTGAGGTGAAATTGCAACAAAAGCATGCAGGCTTACCGAGCATCCCATTCATAAAACAGCTGGTCTTTCACTCCTAGGCCCACCCTGCATGTGTGTGGGGGGGGGACGCTCCTCTCATTGAAACGTGAGGCGCTCAGATGTGCGCTTTGTACTCCAAGCATAGGACGCTCGTTTCGGTTTAAATGATACAACAGAGATTGTAGAGAGGCCGTCCCCGCATCCTCACAAACGATGCATCTGCTCTGAGGCTCAGGAAGTCACTACAATACCTCCTGCTGTAGCGTGCGTGAATGAACACGCCCTCTTTTTTCTGCGTCCCCTTAAAGACGCAGAGCGCCCCTCTGCTGGCTGGAATCAGCTGGAGGCGCGCGCGCTCTGTCAACTAGAACCTACAGTCTATCAATCAGAGGCGTAGCCAGAAAGTTTTTATAAGGGTGGTCAGGCACTAACCAATGTATACTGAGGGGTGGCCAAAAGTTGATAGGCACGAGAACCTCAGGGTCAATCTACACTTTTCCAACAGCAACAACCACAATGTCCGTATTTCTAAAAAAACACTAACTATAGTTCCCTACAGCCTTTGCTAACAAATAGATGCATATATTTAAACATCTGTCTAGATAAAAGATATATTGGATAAAGTTCTTTCAGGTTTGAGTTCTGGAGCGAACATCTTGTCCATCGTCATTACTCACACTGCAAAAAAAGGAAATCTAAATAAGTCATTTTTGCTCAAATTAAGTGCATTTTTTCTTGAATTGAGGAGGTAAGTGCGACATTTAGCCAATGGAACAAGACAATTTACATTTAAAATAAGAAAAAAACAATCGCTTTGTCTTATTTCAAGTGTATATTATCTAATTATCTTATTTTAGGAGTAAAGATACCAATTCCATTGGCAGATCATCTTATTTACCTGCTCAAATTAAGGGTAAATACACTTAATTTAAGACATTTTTTACTTATTTCTAGATGTTTTTTGCAGTGTACCTACTTTTATCAATGTCATTCTCCATTAAATTTATATTTACAAGTACTAATATCTACATAAATTAACCATTCTATAGGTTTTTATTAAAAAAAGTTATTTACAGTATCTATGATTTCACTTAAGAATAAGAACATTTTCTCTTTACGCCATATAACACAAAATCTAGTTCTGAAAGAACATGAATTCTGTAATAATCATCTCTAATGTTGGTATATTGATGTGCATAATTAACCAGAGTGTTTTTGTTGTCAAGTAACTGTTAATATATATAAAATTAAAATGTGGTAGGGGTGACCACAAAGGTGGCCAATGATTGGGTAAGGGTGGCCATGGCCACCCCTGGCTCCCCATCTAGCTCTGCCCCTGATATCAATCGGTCTACGCCAGGTGACGTCAATGTTTACCTCGGGTGCGGTGCATCGTGGGAAAACCATCATATTAGGTGGAAAGTCGAGATAACCCACACGCGGCTGTTCTTTCGGCACAATTATTTACCAGAAATGACACGATCGTGTTGTGTGAGAGGCTGCCTGTGGTAATTTCCCATTCTGCTTACTTTTTTCCATATAGTCAGAGAAACAAACTCAATCCTTTAGTCCTTCGTTTAGCTATGCTGCGGTTGTTTACACTACGCCTTTTCCACCAAAAATGGCATCTTAGCAACAAATGTCATGTGACTGGCGGAGACCGATGTAAAGAAGGGGACATGTCTGTAAAAAGAAAAAAACTGCTGCTTCATCTGCAACCGACTGTATTTTGCAACATCTTGTATCCATAAAAATAGTTACATTTAGGTTTTAAATTTTTATGTTTTTTTCCCCTTTTTTCCACAAAGTTCTGTTTTGTTTAAAGTAATTTTTGTTTTCTATAAAAATACAAAGTGCTCTGAATGTGCATTGAGTTGCAGCAAAAGCCTTATAATATTTCAGCTATGATACAATATAACATTTAGAAATTCAAGCGATGTTTACATTTTAATATATATCTGCTAGTTTTGGTCAGGCATCCCATTAAATGCTCATCTTTTTAGATTTAGTACTTTTTCACAATTATTTGATAGACTTTTAAAACTTAAGGAAAGAACGGAGCCGCAAGAAGTCAAAATTATGCAACAACAAAGACTTTTATCCTGTTTGATTAAAAGTTAATTTTGGGATCTTCCCACTGTTCAAATGATACTCTACAACAATGGATTTGTTAAAAAAAATGAAATTAGCCAAAGAATGGTGACATACGTGGATGAAGGATACAGCTGGTTTTACTGTGGGAAATCCATAATCTCTGGAGTTAAGAGATCAGAGGCTTGAAAGGATGGAATAAATTAGTTTAAACAGCATTTATTCCAATAAAAAAAGGATAAGTTATGCAAAATCAAGACAGTAATACAAGTTCTTAAAAGATCTAAGGAAAGCATGGTTGATGTTTGTTAAAAATCTATTTGAGCTAAAGGTGGAAATAAGATCAGATCATTAATGACTCTGGAGCTGAGATCTCTAAATATAAATATTGTTTATCGAAATAAAGTCAGTTGCTACTTCAGTAATCCTCCACAACTTGTGCTTGCTATATTTATCCATTAGGTCACCTGCCCATATATGGTAAAGGGGACTGTTTTCAATGGCTGTTTAAGATGCGATTTTTCATTTTTATCTTTTTACAAACTTGGTGTTATCCAAAAATCATCATTTCAAATACGTTTTGATTTATTTTTATGCTCCGATGCATTTTTATTTGTTATGTGGTTAGAACAATGTATCTTCTTTACGATTTAAATTCCTCACTGGAAAGATTTCACACTGAGTGAACACATTTATTTGATCTTGTGTATTTCAGGTTGATAAGCAGTTGATAGCCATCCATTAGTGCTGTTTACAATGCAAATTAGCAGGAAGTGCATTCCAGACCCTCCATACTCACACTAAAATCAGGAGAAAGGAATGTGTGAATGGCTCAAAAAGGTCAAATGTCAGTCTACCTAGACAGAATCTACACTTTTGTCTGCCACAGTCATGTAGCTATCAGTAAAAAAAATGTTCTTCAAACAGAAGTTTTCTGCTTATAACTTTTTCTTTTTTTTTTCCCAGAACACTCTGTTTTACCAGTGGATGGGAGACTATGTGACTCTTTATGTTAAGAATTTGAGTTCAGTGGCCTTCCGTTTAGGGCTGAGATATTTTTTGACATAATGATGTCCCAAATGCATTAGCATTACTATGTGGCTAACATTTACTGAAAGAAAATCAAATGTATTCAGGGAAATATGATCAGTAACAATATTTTCTAAATATACTGTATGTCACAGACTGTATTTGCTCCATATAGAAACTACTAAGAATAAATGGGAATTCTTTAGTGGATTAAAAATGAAAAAATAAAAAAGCTTTCTTCAACAAAATAAAAGGTCAAATGAATTCCAAGTTAGTAATATAATCCTCATGGAATGAAAACCATCCATCTTGATCTTGGTTCTAACAGCTTTGACTGCTCCTTTTAGTCAAACATAAGAAGAAAATGTTGTGAAGGCTATGAAAAGAATGCTATCAATGTTTTCTCAGTGTGAGTTTAATTCATCTTTGCTGTTTGATGTTCATACATATTTCTTAGATCTGGCAATTGAACTTCAGGGAAATAATTAGTGTCTTGATTTTTGCTAACTGGTAAATAAATGTTTCAAACGTGCCTTCTGCCTTTGAACCCCCAATGCTTTTTAAAGTGCAAACTAAATAGGTTTGGAAGGAAATAGAAATTCATGAAAATCTTACGGGAATGCAAACCTCATAAATCCATACTGCTGGACATATATTCAACCTTATTATTTATTCAGTGAATGTCATCAGTGTCAATGTATGTTAGATACAGGCAACTCTAATAACTATTTAAAGCTAACCATTCAATTTCTCTGCAATGTTACCAAATTTGGCATTAAAATAGAGTTTAATGTTGCAAAGTACTTGGAACACAACCCGTCAAAAGATGCCTAGATCTGACAGCAGTTTTCTAAATATTTGTAATCCAATGTAGCTCCTATTAGTATCAGTGCATATAACATATAAATGTGCTCCCTTAGAGACATTTCTGTTTACAAGTGTTTTTCCTCACTTAAATTTGGTCATCCTCAAAATAATTCAAATACCAGACAGAGAGAGCCAGAGCAAATAAAAATGCTTTTTGAAGTAATTAAATTCACAAGGGGGCTGGGGGGATAAGACAACAGTCTAAATAAGTTTGGCTTGATGTGAAAAGTTTCCATTCTTTTATTAATATTTAATTAATATTTGAATTAACCATATGAGCAGTAACCATATTTTTGCTTCAGTTGCACTTGTCTCCAAACTTAATTATTTTCAGACCTGTAGAATCAAGAAATCACCCAAATATGCTGTCTGACAAAATGGTACACATTTGAACATCTCAAAATGTATCGAATTAGCTCCAAATCAAAATATATGTACAAACAAATGAGAAACAAAGTCCAATAACTTTATCAGCCTGGAAAGAGTTATAAAGCTAGTTATAAGTTAGCTGCTGGGAGTTAAACATTTTTAAGTGCCGGTATTGATCAACACTAGATTGAATTAAAAGAACACTAACTATCAATTATTTGAAAAATCCCTATTGATAATTGAAATTAAACATATTAGGATTGAATTTATCTAACAGTGGTGCTCAGTGTCAAAACTTAACACCACACACTAGTGTTTAAACGATCAGGATTTCTGAAAATTGGTCAGATTTCTGAACATTATCAATTATTGGTAACTAATCCTATACTGTTTGATAGTAGTAGCACACCTACTGAAGCAAGGTTGAAATAAATACCAGGTCCTCTGAACCCCGTCAACACTTTACTAGTGTCAGTCAGGTGTTTTACATAAGGACACAATTACTGAGCTGGGATTTGAACCAGTGACCTTCCAGTTGCAGGAAGAGCTTCTGCAGAACCTCTTCTAATATAGTTTATTTTAAAATCCATACATAACAGAGTTGCTCTGCAGATTATCACAAACTCTTCAGAGGAACTAACTCTTGCAGAGTTGAATTAACATACAACATACGCTTTTCAACACTGACTCTGGAAGTTTAACATATTATATTTTGCAGAGTAAGGACTTGGGACTCCTGCAAATGTCTCTGAAATTCCTTTTTGATGAATAACACAGGAAAACTGGCCAAACATACCCAGTGGTTGTTGACTGTTGCACTTCAAGTAGTCATGCATGCAATTGCCAAAAAAAAATAAAATAAAACAAATTAAATAATACAATAAACGCAGAACAAAATCAAATTAAGGTCTCACTT